AGATCTCTTAATCATTTAGTAATGATAGTTGAGAGAAAGCTTCAATGACATCAATGTATGAAAGAGGTTGTTCCTTTATATTTTAAAAAGTATTATATATTTGTTTTTGATCAAATACATAAGTCTCTTATAGTGGTAGCATTTGTAGTAAAGACATTCTTTGAATATGAGGTATGTTTTGTTCATTGGACCTTATAGTTGTTGAAGGGTGCTTAAATAATTATAAGTCTATTAAGAGTTCTTCATTATCTTTTTGTAAGTATGTCGTTGTTTTTTGATCATATAGATTTTCATTGAAGAGAACATTTCTTGAAATGAGAATTTTTTGATTTTGTATAGTCATAATTCTATAGGATTTAGATTCTTTACTATAGCCTAGAAATATAGCCTCTTGTGAATGAGAATTTAACTTCTTTTTTGTTTCTTTAGAATAAATACACGAGCTTTGCAACCAAATATTTTAAGGTAAGATAAATTTGGTTGTATTTTGTACTATAATTCAAATATTATTTTGGTCCTTTTACAAATTTTGTAGGACTCCTATTTTGGAGGTAATTAGTTGTATGGAATACTTCACTTCAAAAAAATTTAGATAAATTTAAATAAGATAGTATTGTAAGAATTGCTTCTATTGATGTTCTATTTTTTCTTTCAAAAATACCATTTCGTTGTGGTGTATAAGCTATAGTATAATCTTGTTTGATTCTTTATTTATTATATAAATCTTTAAATTCATTTGATTTATATTCACCTCTACAATCACATCTTAAGATTTTGATTTTGAAACTTCTTTGTTTATTTAATTTTTTTTTAATATAAGGTGAATTTTTCAAATGCTTTAGATTTTTGTTTCATCAAATACACATGGCAATATCTTATTAGATCAATAATAAATATGTTTAAGTAAATATATCTTAAATATGTAAATACTTACATAAGTCGACAAATGTTAGAATATATAAGTTCTAACAATTAAATAGCTCTTTATGTACCTTGTATACAAAACTTTTCTTTATGTTATTTACATTCTATCTAAGGTTGACATAAGATAATTTTTTTTTTATTAAAGAAGTCAATTTCCTTTGCCATTGTTTGTATTCATTTGAGACTTTACAAATTTATGTGTTAAAGTCTTAGATGCCACAAATCAACTTTGTTTAATTGTATTCTTACTAGAATAGCAATTTGAGGCTTGTTTGAAAGGATTGTTGTATGTAATTCATATAAATTAGGATTTAATTCGGCATATTATAATGATTTGTTCAAATTTATTTATAAATGTTGTTGTTTCAGCTCTTATGCAAATTTCTCCTCCTTCCTTATCTAATTTTTTGGCAAAGAAAAAATTCTTTGCAAGTCTTGGTATATATAATATATCATATATGATCTTTTCATTGTTATTTATAAGTTTGATATTTGCATTACCATATCCTTTTATTTTTTGTGATGTAGTATAAATTCTTAAATAAACAACTTATTTGACTTCACTTTTGATGTATTTGCAAAATGCTTTTAACTCATGACACATATGTTGAATTGCTCCTAAGTCTACATACGACATTGAATTTGAGTTTTCTTTAATTATAAGTGTTGTCACATATAATTTATTTGATTTTGTAACAACACTTGTTTCTTTTCTTTTATTAAAATTTTTAATTGGTATTCTTATTTTGCAATCTTTAATCAAGTGACATGGTTTCTTACAAAAAAATACTTGTTAATAGCAAAATTGTTCTTTTCATGTGGCTTGAAGGTACTACTCTCTCCTTGTGAATTCTTTCTGAAATTCTTATTAAAATAAGATTTTTTTTATTATTTTATAATTTTTTCTTATATATAGGATTTGAATTATTATTAGATATTAAACTCATATTTTTTTTATGAATATTTCTTCTTGGATGAAATTTGTTATGAAAGATGCAAATGTGATCTCAAGTTGCTTTCTTAAAGAGCTAATGAAGGATCTATAACTTAGAGGAAAACTTCTCATTAAGGTGAAAATTGCTTCACTATCTAGAACTGGTGATGGTATTGCTAACAATTGTTCCAAATATACTCTAAAGTTTTGTTTGTATTTAATAATACTATTTTCTTTTCTCATTTTTATGATGTATAATTTGTCTTTTAAATACATCTTAATTACTATATTATGTGGTTCAAATACTTTTACTAATTCTTCTGATGCTAAATTTGTTGATGTGTAAGATTGTATATATGAAATAATGTTATTTTCTAGGAAATTATTGATTATGGTTAAAGACAAGGTATCTTTATCTATCTATGTGCTTATACTCCCTATTCCTATAGAAAGTAAAGCTAGGATTCTAGTAACAATTTTAGCTACTGTTGGTTCCATTGGTAAACATTCTTCACCACTTACTATGAACTATAACTTTTTAGCCTTAAAAAGTAATGTTTATCTATGTTTTCATATATTAAAATATGAACCATCAAATTTTGGAATATGATTGATGTCCAATATTTGTCATCTTCAATATTCTTAATTTGAAGTTGAATTGAAATTATTTATAAATTTATTCTTGATTAATTTAATTTTATCTTTATTTATGGTTTATTTGTTGCTATTTTCAAGTTTAGAATTGCTTCTCATGGTTTGAAGAACTTCAAGCTCTTCATCAATCTTTCCTATTACAATAGATTGCTTTATTGTTATCATTACAATTTTATTTGTAATTTCAGCAATTCTTTTTTAGATTGAAACATTCATCTACTCTAATAGTTTTTATTTTTTTATTTGAGGGATCAAATATTTCTATAGCTCTAATACTATGTTGGAAAAATTAATACATATAATCAATGATCAATGTTACACAATACATTGTGTGTAGAAGAGTGACAACTCTTGGTGTAAGGTCAATAATTAGTATTCTATATAGAAGACTAGTGTACTATACAGAATAATTCTCCCAATGGCGGGAGAATTCAACTTCGGCCAGGGAAATTGCTCCACAAGACAATCAAGGAACAGGAGGAAGAAGATTTGATTCAGAATCACAAAAGGGGCGGAGCTTCACTGATGAAGGTCGACGTTCATCAATGGATCGCAGAAGTCTGTCCCCAACCGCCACTCCTAAACGATCAACAATTTGACGTAAAAGTGTAAACACCAACCAGAGTCGTAACAAGAACGACTCCCACTGCAAGAGAAAAAGAAACATAAAACTCTTGAAACAAATCCAGTCACCTTGAGCCTAATATATCACTGAGGAAAAATCACTCACCACCGACAATTGGCTGCAAATCTCTCGATCAAGAAACTCCACTGGGAAACGCCGCAGAGGACTATCTCGCTCACGAACACTCGATAGGAAGGACAATGCTAATAGAGTTATAGAAAACCACAATCTATTGCATCATTAGAATCGCCGACTGCACGAGCTACCGGTATGATGCTACACTGACGTATCATCGGGTTAAGGAATGTGGTGACTGTTTTCGAGTGAGGTAGGGAGTGAGAAAGAGCAAGACAGATGGGTTGGGCCAGCTTTGTTCGATGCTCGTCCGATGCAAATTTTTGTATTCAGTTTGCGAGTATGCTTGGTTGTGTGCAGCAGAGCTAGCTGCAGGAGCCTTTGGGAGTAGAGTCAAAATGTTTTAAACGCATGTTCATCCCATTGGCAGTCTGTCTTGAGCGTTGATATCATTTGTTCAAGCTTGTTAGGAATACTGGAGCAGGAGGCCTAGAAGCCGTCAATCTGTAGGTTGTACCCTACAATAGGTCGTTTCGTTCTCCCTGTTGTAGAGTTAATGGTGTGAAGCAGCTCCATGATTAGTGACACTATAGTTTGTGTTAGACATTGAGTGATGGCGCCGGAGGTTCCAGAGAGGGAGAAGCTATCGGCGCTCCACTGCTTCATCCAATTAAACATCAGTTCCTCCAGTAAGCTCCAATGGCTGTTTCCGCTGCTGTCGTCATGCAGAAATTCGCTATTAGCCTGTAGGCACATGTACGGTGGACCGTATACCTCTGTCTGTGTACTGATTCGGAACTTCACAACATGAAACAATGGCATTGCTCAGGCGGGGCCGGTAGAGCCAAATCCAAATAGTACTCCGTCGACATAGATAGTAGCGCGTTGCAAAACAAACCTTAGTCAATTAATGTAAGGAACCGGTGAAACCGAGGACGCTGGAGATGGAAAGTTAGCAGTGATAATTCAGATCGTACGAGCACACTGCTTGTAGTGCTCCTGTGCATGGTGAGGTGATCCTCACAACCCAACTTCCAGTACGGTTTTCATCTGGACCTATCCACGCACACCCAGTACCAAAGCTCTACACGTCAGCTTTCGTAGGATCGCTATTAACGTTTCATTCCGCCACATTTCAGTCTCTCCGAGCATATTACTCCATGGCCGAGTTCATCGCTCCATCAAGAGAAACAGAGCCTTGGTGCTCCGTCTCTGCGTTACCATCTCATCTGTCGGGTTCATCGCCTAGCCAGGATATTGATGGGGAGACATGGTGAAATTGACTGAAGTTCTCCTCAGAGACAGTCTCATCGCTGAGACATCGACATGCTTGTGGCTAAATATGAGGCCTCTAGGATAAGCGGCAGAAGTTGTGAAGCTAACAAGAGAAATGCCTGCACATCTTGTAGACTGTTCTGATCACTGCCTCTTCATTCTCTCACACACTAAACATGATATTTTATGTTGTGTATTATGTTTGTGTACATATATCTCTCTGTTTGTGTGTGTGTGTGTGTGTACATATACGTGATTTAATTAGAGGTTTTTCATATAATATAAGTATTATGCCTACTGGGTGCTTCCGAAGGCAAAAAGTTTGTAATCATGTATTGATACCACTTTCTCTGTTTCCAAAGAACGTGGTCTAAACAAGAATACCAAATCAGAACTTCGCATTGAATTGAAGTGAATTTGATTTCTGGATACACAATTATTGTTTAAAACAATGAGAAACAGTATATCCAATACGGAGTTGAACAGTGGCCGCTTGTATGGGGTAGCATTGTGTGGAAAAAAATGAAGAATGTTTTTCAATTTCTTATAAAAAACAAGGAACAGAAAGATAAAGGTATGTGAATCACCCTGAATGGAATTATTGTGTTCACTCGGTGCATTTTATGCAGCTTCGGTACCCTCAAACAGCTGGATGGTATCAGCACTAAACTTCAAAAACCATGTAGTCCCTACAAGAGATTTAAGGTACAAATACCAGAACTATCCGATACGTAACCTGCACTGCAGTGGCACTTGTACCCAGTATCGTCCCAGCTACACGTAGAATCGTTGTCGCCTACAGTCTTGCAAGTTTCGGACAAGCCACATCCATAATCCCTCAGCACATCAAGGTGCAAACAAACTGAAGCTGGATATCACCGCGATGTAGGTGGAGGAGGGGTGTAGGTGGAGGGTGTGGGAGGAGGAGGAGGGGAGAGTGTGGGTGGAGGAGGAGGGGAGGGTGTGGGTGTGGGTGGAGGAGGAGGGGAGGGTGTGGGTGTGGGTGGAGGAGGAGGGGAGGGTGTGGGTGGAGGAGGAGGGGAGGGTGGAGGAGGAGAGGAGAGTGGAGGTGGAGGACTCCACCCATAAAAGCTTGCGCATGTAGCCTCACTCTTCTGGTTATAATAACTACGGGTAAGAAGACAATTTCCAGAGATATCCAACACCCTTCGATTGAGCGCTCTACATGCAGACTCAAGTTTAGTGAAGAAGTTGTCGCTGAGATCAAGAGTTGCCAAATTTTTCAGCCGACAGAGCTCGGCAGTCACTGTTCCACCCAATAAGTTGTTACTCATGTTGAACACCTCGAGATCAGTCAAATTTCGGATGCTCTCTGGCAAATCTCCTTTGATTTTGTTGGTGCTGAAGTCGAAGAGCAGGATGTTTTTCAACTTGCCAATATCAGAGGGAATTCTTCCTTCGAATTTGTTGCCCAAAGCAAGAATCTCGAACAGGGTGTTGCTCATATCACTGATACTCCTGGGGATGGTTCCTCGAAACTTGTTGTTGGCAAGCGTAATGGCAGCGACGCGGGACTGTCCGAAGTTGCTAGGTATGGTACCTTCAAATTTATTGTTGTTCACAAAGATTATTTTCAAAGTACGCTTTGCGAACAGCTCACTTGGCAACCTGCCATAGAACTTGTTAAAGCGGAGATCCAAGAAAACCAACTTGGGGATGGCCAAGGTGACCATCGGAAATCTCCCGCTAAACTGGTTGTTGCTAAGATCGAGTTCATACAACAACTTCATGTTTCGGAATGAATCTGGCACTCCTCCGCAGAAACGATTGCTATTCAAGTGGAAGACAGCAATCTCTCGAAGCAAGCCCAACTCAGGCACCAAAGTACCCTTCAGATGCGCACCGTTCAAGTCGATTGCGGCTACAACCTTGATGCTGGAGTACTTCTGACCAGGTGGATGTTGACAAAATACTCCTTCGTATCTGCAGACATACTTTCCCTTCCAACTCCTTGTGACATTTTTGGGATCATCGGTGATGGCCTTCTTCCAGGCTCGCAAAGCGATGTAAGCTCTCCACTGGCTCCATGCAAATCCATTGCGTCCAGTTGCTTGAAGACGGCGGCCGTACCCCAGAGGATGGTTTTCAATCGTTTGAGTTCCTGAGAAAGGGTCTGCTTATCAACAAGAACCTCATATCAGTGCCTCTGATTGGGACGAATTCGATGCATAAAATTTATGTCCCATGTCATGGATACATGAGCACTGTCGCTGGTTCTTTCAATTAAGATACCTAAAATCTTCATGTGTAACACGATACTAAACACAATATGTCAACATTATAATTTTAAGAAAAGAGCACAGGGTACTTGTTGCCTGTTCCCCACATTGTACATTCTTAATCTCCATACATAAAAATTGGCATTAGGTTCGCAGGATATGATTTCTGAAACCTAGTTGATTCTGTCAGGGTCCAAACACCAAACATGTGATGAAGCTCATGACTAGTTTCACGTAAAAATTTAATATACAGGAGAGATGAGTAAGAGACGTACGTGCAGGGACAGCCGAGGTTGCAGGAGCGACAGGTGCACTGATAGCTGCTGCTTGCAGCATGAATAGAGAGACCAAGAGTGCTGTGACCAGCATGGTAGTAGCACTCGCTTCCATCCTCGGCAGAGTAAAGCGCGTCATTGTGCCTGCATCAATCGGAGACAGCTACCGTAAGTCCAGTCTCGAAGACACACAACACGGCCACCGAAATAAGCTGCTAGATTGACCTAGCTCAGCAATCTGAATTACATCAGTCGAAACTGAACCCTACCTGTTTGCGGGTTCTCACTCTAATAACTGCACTGTCTGCTGCTACGCACAATCTTTTGAAACCCGCTGCAACACTCCACCCTTCCCACCCGATTCAACACCAGGTGCGCTGCACCATTCGGTGCCCGCGTAATCGCTCCTTCAATTGTCTAATCCTGCGAACACAACATCGGTGAAACGAAGTCTTGGCACCAACATCATCCAGCCGCACACGGGAACACTGTAACATGATCAAGAAACAACACGAACACCCGCACTCACAACTCCAAAGAATGAGTTACCACTATCCACACCCCAAGCATCAGGAAATGTGCAGCTCCTGGCTGCAGAGTGAAAATCTACGGCCCGGTGCTGTGTACCTGAGAGTGGAACAGTTGAAGTAGAGAATATGGAAGGCAGCTTCGGAGCTGCTACTTCCAGTTAGGACTGAGACTCGAATCGAGTCTGTGTGCTGATCTGCGGGGGAGAGCATGGGGTAATATCAACGCGAGTGCGCCAAAAGCCATACCAGCTGACAACTGTGGACAGCAGTGTGAGCTGGTTGCGAGATGCCGGCGTAATCCAAGGCCTAGTAATACCAGGATTAATATCACACCAGAAAAAGCTCTAGCACTATAACCCCTATCCTATCCTACCCGCAGTAGCACAACGTGGGTTTAGCGGGCCCAGCACCCCTACCACTTCGCCGGGTGATTTCAGTTGTTGCGGTGCTCGGAATGGGAAACTATTTACGTAGAACCCGACAAGATACTTGGGTTTCAATAAACAGCCAGTTGCCCACTGCTTTGACTGGGTTACAGTCTTGGATCTCATTGTATCAAAGAATAAATTTGCTATTTCGTGTTGTATTTCGCCTCTCATTCGACTCAGTATCAACAATTTGGGATTCCAGCTCAGACAACATCGCACTGTTGATCGGTTTTCTCCAAGGGTGTTGTGATGAGACTCGGGGAAAATGCGTAAAATATTCCCTTGGATCATCGTGGGTGGCCAATCAAGAGTTGACCTACAGCCATGCAGTCCCGTCCACGATCTAATCAACTGGGTTTCCCACTCTGTCCTGAACAGTAAGATATTTTCTTTGTGAGACGACGCGCAGAAATAATCCTTCTCCCTTTCTATTCTCAAACAGAAACGCGAGCACCACGACGCCGTAGATGACCTCGCATTACCGCCATGCAAGTGAAAATCCAGTGCTGCGATCCACCTCACACTGGGTGGAAATGTTTGGTCCCGTCGCCCACCTCAAGGTCAACCTGCTGGCTGGCCCCTGGTGCACTTGTGAGATGCACTCACTCGTCGTTTCCACCCAAAGACTCGCAGTCGCGCCACTTTTTATACTTGTCCATTCTCGACAATATCTAATTCTTGTCTATTCGCCCTTCTCCATCGCTGGTGGAGGATGAGGTCATCGCGGCGTCAGCAGCCGAGCAATTTAGCAACTTCCTCATGTGCACCAGGACAAGTTTGGCAACGGTGAACACAGAAGAGCATTGGAGATGTAGAGGGAGGAACCGGTTGGAAGTGATTGTTGTCACAGCCAATCCGGTGCAACTGGCGAGGGGCAAGCTGTCGGTAGACGAGGGGAAGGGTTATCCCAGAGTTGATCCTGAGGTTCCAAATAGGGGTCGACCCTGCGATGAGATGAAAGCCATCCAAATACAGTGTAGACTCAACAAATGTATTGAATAAACGTGTTACCAATTACCGCTTAGGTTGTTGTCACAAGCGGCTTTTATATTAAAATATTGGGAGGGCAACTTTCCCGCTAGCCCTACAAATTGGACTTTGCTATGATTCTATAGGTTATCACAAGATTTGTGCTAAGTCCATTTCTTATCTCTACACATGTAGAGAGACCTTTCCTTTGATGAAATTGAAGTATATAGGCAATAATTGCAACATGGTTCTATGTATATTGCATTTCACCGCCAATTGAGGTGATATTGATTAGATTAAAATGTAAATTGCAATAAACTAAGTCAAATTCCAATACCAGAAATGCAATGGATTGTTCAAGTCAAATTGCTTGAAAAAATAATTGATATTTATGTTGATACAATCTTGTGAATTTGGCTCAAAAATTGCAATGTTTCTTGCAAAGTTTTTTTTGTTGTAATATAAAACAACATTGTCAATAATGAATTCCCTTGTATATATTACCTTCTTTTATTTTTTTATTATGGCCTTCATTTTGCAATCAATGAGCCTTGTTGATATTATTACAAGCTTGTGTGTATAAATTATTGCAATGTTGAAGTGGCTTGTCTAGCCATGCATATAGATTAAGTTGCATCTTGTATTATCAAGGCCAAGTCTAAAGATATAATGGACAACCTTGATTTGCAACTGTAGATTGTCTTAAAAGTAGAAGAACCCATATTAGAATGCATGCTTATGCAATCTACAAAGATGATTGCCAATAATATGGTGTACCAATGTGCATCATATTTACTATTGTTTATCATAAATAAACATATTGTATAATTGAATCTTTTTATCAATTTATTGCATTACATGTGATGAGAAGAAGTGGTCATATGCTTCATGCATAAGTAGATGACCAACACATCTATCAAAGCATTGCAAAACTTAGGCCTATTATATGTCAAAATCTCCATGAAACTACTCTATCTCATCATAATTCAGTCAAAGAAGAGTTGAGCAATCCTTTTGCAGTCCTTCAACTCTTATGCTTGGACCTCTACTCATATGGTGAAGTAGCATGTAGCAACTATGATGTACTTGTATCTTGTAGTGGCCATTATTAAAGGTCCAATAAAATCCATCTCTACTCATACAAATGGCTCAAAATTAAAAACAAAAGTTAGTACATACAAATGTAATACTCTTATTGTGATTACACTTCACTTGAAATATTGAACATTGGAAAATGAAGCTAATGACATCACCTACCATATTGATCTAGTAATATACTTCTTAAAGTCATTTGAGTATTCTTTGTACTACAAAATATTCCAACGTCTTTGCTGTATGAAAAAATTATACATTAGTTATGATCTTGATGATTTCTAGAAATAAGATATAGGCCTAATTTCTTGTAGTGTGGAGTTGTATCCTTAAAATTTCTAACACTTATAGAATAAATATATATGCTTGAATATCCTTAGAATAATAAGAATTAAAATATGATTATAAAATAGGTGATAGCTAAGTAATCCATGATGAAGGATAACACCTCCTCCCCTTCCTTTTGTCCTATCAAGGAAAATATATGATTAAAAAGGAAAGATAAGAAGCTAAAATCTATTGGTTGTAAAAATAGTTGTAAAGTATTGAAGCTATTGGATAGAGTTTAGATCTTCAAAGATAGTATAGGGATTGCATTCCATAGACTTGAGTTGTGTCAAGGTGTCTATGTTGTCATATAAGCAATGTGGCTTGTAAATGAAAATCGTAAACTTTGACAAATCTAACTATATTATCAACATAGGTATTATAATATTGATCCTCAATCTTTTTGGTATCATGTCTTAAATTACAAGAAAGACATAAAAATTTAAAATTTTAAGTTTTTTTCAATATATTGGTCTAAATATAATTAATACAATAGTTGAATTGGCAAGAATAAGAAGTACAATGTTAAATTTAATGCATTTATAAAGAAAAGAGATACAATGGATGTAGATCTCTCTGTCTTTAGGGAATATAATTTTCTTCATCATGGATTGAGAAGCATGAGCTTTATGTTGTATAACTCAAAAAAAATAGATTCTAAATATACTTGAGGTTTTAGAATTAAGAAAAAGTAAGAAAATAATCTTCAATGGATTTTTTTATTATTAAATAACTATGAACTAAAATAAACCTCCTACTAGTTGGAAGTTTAATGCAATTCAAAACAATTTTAATTGTCTAAGCATTTGATTTAAGTTCAATACTTCTAATAGCTATCTAATTAAGAGTTAAATAAAACCTCAATAGGTGGTTTACTCCAGCTCATCACTACTAATTAACTTATCAGTAATTAATTAAATCTCCTTCTACTTCTTACATAAAGGAACTTAAGTCTTTAACTAGCTAAATTCATCTTTATACAACTCTACAAGGATACAAGCCACTTAAACAACTCAAAACCAGCACAATTAAAAGAAAAATTTTGATATGATTTTTATTTGATTTAATTGTCTATTAAAAATTACAGTCATAATCAAATTTCTCATTCGCAAATGAGTTTTCATCCACTAATGATTTTTCATCTATAAATGAGAAATCATCTAAGTTTAATCAATGTTCATCTACAAGAACTCATTGATTCAAACCTTAGCTACATCATCCAAGTTGATTTAAATTCATACAATCAATTATATTCAACATATATTCAAACATAATTTTTTTGTGAACTTGCCTACTTTTAATGTTGATCTTCAGTTCTTAAAATTCAACACCTTTGCACCACTGTAGAAATGACCCATGTGAAATGCTCCCCTTTGTGTTGCCTAGTCTTTGAGCCTTTTCCTTGTGGTTCGGGTTGCTCCAGCCGAGCTGTACCACTTGCCTGTTCACTGGAATGTAGAGGGTGTTAAAAACGAGCCTAGAGTAGATATATTAGCAGTTGTGCTAAAAGAATTGGAATTGTTTGTCGATGCAATTGTAGCTTCCAGTACTTCAATCTTGAATGAGAGTGGATAGGTGAAAACAATTTGCAACAAGAACTTGAAAAGTGGAGAGAGGGCTAATGAATGATAATGGTCTCATAATTGTTACAAAAGCATATCACAGGAAGCTATCCAAACCCTAATTACTAGCTACTCATGTAAAATTCTTTTGTAAAGTTGACGGTTTTACCGACACCCAACTTCTTGTATGAATTTTCGCTAAGCTGTAAACTTCAATGCATGTCTCAGAAGGAATTCCACTGATACAGTGTCTCCTGCTATGTTAATTTGTTCCACCTCAACATCGAGATGCCTTGTAGAGACAAGAGACGATGTGTACACTTGAACTCCTGAAATAAAGACACCATGAAGTCCTAATAAAACTAGGAAATAGAAAAGCTGATTCTAGACAAATGGAAGATGCGTTTTTCCCATGCCCTAGTGTGAGTTTTCTCTACTTTCTTGTAACCTTCAATGGTTCAACTTGCAAGTGATCTGATAAACAACAGTAAGAACATAATCCAATCAAAGACAATGTTCTCTAGTTTTTCTCTTGTAATCCGACGGTGGCAGCAAATGAGGATAAAAAGCATGCACATCAAAGCTTCTGAAATAGGACACTGAGGGTGCCGGCTGAATGCAACGATGATGATTAGAAAACTCAACAATAGTCGGAGGACGGAGCTCAATCAACAGTCGGAGAGGGACGAGCACAACAACAAGAGAGAAAATATTGACAAGAGCCGACTTAAGTTGATCACCAATAGTTGACGGCACTGCACCACAAAACTTAATTCTTTTGCATCCGATTCGACAAAACCG